GTGCCCCTTTGCCTTCTCCTCCTGAGTCTTCTCTTCCTGCTCTTGCCGACCCGGAGTCGGACTCTCTTCGTGCTGCCAGTCCTACTGTCACGCGTCTCCTTGCTACTGTTGTCACTGACCCTTCCGTTGAGTCCACTGCTGCGTCTGCCCTAGTTGCTGAGCTCGTCGACTTTGCTGCTCGCTGTCGCCTAGACTACGTCGCCAGTCTTGTTGCTGAGTCTGAGTCTGTCTGTCCTCCGTCCGTCGGGGGTGAGTGTGCCCTTGGCACGGACGTCCTTGAGGACAGGCAGGAGGAGTTCCAGTGCTTGGCCGCTGCTTCACCTCATCTCGTGTCCGTACTGCTTACCCCTGAGGGAGACCCGGATGCACTTGACATCCCGACTCCGCGCTCTTACGCGGAGGCGATAGAGGGTCCCTACTCCTCTCAGTGGCAGGCAGCTATGGACGCAGAGATGGCTTCCTGGAAGTCCACAGGCACCTACGTTGACGCTGTTCCCCCTCCTGGGGCGAACATCGTCAGTGGCATGTGGATTTTCAGGGTGAAGCGACCGCTGGGTTCTCCGCCTGTCTTCAAGGCGCGTTACGTGGCTCGTGGCTTCAGTCAGCGGCAGGGAGTTGACTACTTTCAGACCTTCTCTCCCACCCCGAAGATGACCACTCTTCGGGTACTGCTGCACGTAGCTGCTCACCGTGACTACGAGCTACACTCTCTTGACTTCAGCACTGCTTTCTTGCAGGGCAGCCTGCACGAGGAGATCTGGCTGCGTCGCCCACCTGGCTTCACTGGGTCTTTTCCTCCTGGCACCCAGTGGAGCCTACGGCGGCCAGTCTACGGTCTCCGCCAGGCACCGCGTGAGTGGCACGACACACTGAGGACTACACTTGCGGCTCTTGGGTTTGCTCCCTCTACTGCCGACCCGTCGCTGTTTCTGCGCACCGACACTTCTTTGCCGCCGTCCTACATCCTCGTGTACGTCGACGACTTGGTCTTTGCCACAGCTGACACTGCTGGACTAGCCCACGTGAAGTCCGAGCTGCAGAAGAGACACACGTGCACTGACCTGGGTGAACTGCGCAGCTACCTTGGCTTGCAGATCACTCGGGACAGAGCACGCCGCACCATTACCCTGACTCAGTCACACATGGTGTAGCAGGTCCTTCAGCGCTTCGGCTTCACGTACTCCTCGCCTCAGGCCACTCTTCTGCCTACTCGCCACTCGCTCTCAGCTCTGCCTTCGGATGAGTCCGTAGAGTCGAGTGGCCCGTACCCAGAGCTTGTTGGCTGCCTCATGTACCTGATGACCTGCACACGACCTGACCTTGCATACCCTCTTAGCATTCTTGCACGCTATGTTGCTCCTGGGAGACACAGACCGGAGCACATGGCTGCAGCGAAGAGGGTGTTGCGCTACTTGTGCAGTACGTCGGGCATGGGGCTTGTGCTTGGAGGGCAGAGTCCAGTGGTCCTTACTGGGCACGCAGACGCTTCTTGGGCTGACGACCAGGCTACGCAGCGGTCGTCACAGGGTTACACCTTCAGCCTTGGTTCCGGCTCTGTTTCGTGGCGGGCTACCCGCTCGTCTTCTGTTCTCGGCTCCAGTTGTGAGGCTGAGATCTACGCAGGAGCCATGGCTGCACAGGAGCTTCGCTGGCTCACCTACCTGCTGACTGACCTCGGAGAGCTGCCTCGTTCTCCTCCAGTGCTGTACGTAGACAACAAGGCCATGCTGGCCTTGTGTCGGGAGCAGCGACTGGAGCACAGAACGAAGCACATTGCTCTCCGCTACTTTCTTGCTCGTGAGCTGCAGCAGCGTGGTCAGCTGCGTCTTGCGTACGTGGCCTCTGAGGCCAACACTGCTGATATCTTCACCAAGGCGCTTGCGCCTTGTGACCATCAGCGCTTCTGTACTCAGCTGGGCCTTGTGCCTACCTTGCCTCACTTGCTCACCTCTTGACCTTGCTTGTGCTGTTACATATATATATACCTGCTCTTGCTTGTCTAGCCTTTATATATATATGTACTCCTGCATGTGAACTGGCCTTGTGGCCTTGAACTTGTGCTCGGAATGTGTGGTGACTTTGTGATCCACCCTGAGCTTGCTTTGCTTTACTTTGCTTGACTGGTCTTGTGACCCCTTGTTCTCCCCCACTTTGCCTATGGGGGTGTGTCAGAATATTATAGCTCATGCATATTGTGTAGGCTATAGTGGGGAAACCCATAAGGGGTACAACCCAATTAGGGTTAGTACTTGTACCCAATTCATTCATAGTTCATTCATTCCTTGTTTCTTATCACGTGTGTCTTCTAGGCTCTTCACCTTGCTAACTGAACGACATTAGGGACAAATGACACCTAGCTTACCCTTTCTTCTTTCTCTCCCTCCATCCTTGTGCCACTGTATTTTACTGATACTTGTTTAGAATCTAGTGGATGGAGCAGACAAATGGCTTCAGATGCTGGATGTTCCGAGCAGCATCTTCCTCCTCGCGCCTAAATGGCATCAAGGACAAACAAGCCCAAGCCTACCCCTTTTTCCTCCCCACCCATATTGTTCCTTCGTTGTGGCACTATCATACCAGCCCTTATTTCAAAATCTAGTGGATGGGCAGATGATGTGTCTTGCAGCATGCTACCTGAATGGCATGAAGGACGAAGAACCCTAAGCTTACCCATTTCCGTCCCCATTCCGACGAAGAACCCTAAGCTACTGCCATATCGGTCTTATTTCAGAATCTTGTGGATGGGGCGGACGAGTGGCTTCAGTTGCTGGGTGTTGCGAGCCGCACCATGCGCTCCGTCCACAACATGCCGGTCTCTGATTCCTTTGCCAATTGATGGGCGATTGATGGAGGTGTATAGGCATGCTGAGTACTTACAGATGGGGCGAGACTAGCTTTACATGTTGCCAGCAACAATATGAGGGCCGCGCGCAACATGCCAATCCCAGCTTCCTTTGCCACTAGATGGCTTAGCATTAGGTGTCGTATGAATTCCAACTAAATCGTGTTCATTTCAAGTACCGTATGGCCCCGGATAGAAGCGCAGGCCTATTAAAAGCGCATGCGCATCTATCTGGAGCAATGCGCTTATGGCCGATCCTCAATTATAAGCGCACCCCCTGTAAAACCCTGACTTATTATAAGCGCATGTATAATATTAAAAATTGAACTTGCTTGAAACGGTAACGAATTTCAAATTTGCAGCGAGGTCACACAAATTTCGGTTCGATTGACTCGCGACGGCCTTACATCCGGCGCGTCCAGTCAGTATGAGCTGGAATTCCTGCGCAATGATGTGTAACTGCCCCTGTGCGCCGGCAGAAAATCGCCCGCGTACGATTCTGAATCGTGACCCCCTATCATTGCGCTTCGATTGAAATTGCAAGAAGGAGATGTACAATTTGGTGCAGTAAGAATATAAATATGTATGTGTCATTTTATAAGCACATGCGCTTATATTTTTTACTCAATTATAAGCGCACCCCCCTAAAAAAACACTGCTTTATTATAAACGCAGGTGCGCTTATATCCGGGGTAATACAGTATGGCAATTAGTGACATTCAAATAATATATATGGCGATTGTGGCAGGAAGTGGCATCAGCCAATACCGTTGTATCCCAATTGACTAGAAATTCCTCATATTCTGCCGTAATCAATCCAAAAAGGCAGTCTGGCTCGACTTGTGAGAATTCTTTCCATTTGCCAAAAGAGCCATGCCTAAAGTGAATATATTTATATATTTATATATTATATACACACACACACATGCTTCCGTGCATTCCTTCGTGAATGGCGTTACGCCTAGTTGCTGACGTGTCGGTTTCTGAGCCACGGAGATGCACGCGTCGCTGAAGCATGCAAAAACTTCGGAGCACGTGGCAGTCTGACAATGAGAACAGCGTTGTAACAAGCTTCACGACTTTGACGAACTAATAAGCGACATTTTTTTTCGCGTCGTCATTGGTCGCAATTCCTGATCTTTTATTTCGTCCGTGCAATTTCTCCACATTGTATTCGTCTGTCGCCTACCTGTCGTCATACTTACACAGGACAGGAATCAAAGGATTCCGAAATTGGAATCAAGCCCCCCTCCTTCCCCACCAGATTCAGCAGAACCATTTTCAAACATATTATTCTCCACCAAATCCGTTCAACCGCAGTATACCCCTTGCTTCTTTCTGGTCATGGTTTTGCGTCCTCCCTCCCTTCATCCATTCGTCTGACTGACCATTCTTCGCCTTCTTGCTTCGCCTTCCCGCGAAGACAGCAGATGCTCCTTCAGATGCTTCTCTGATCAGGGAACGCACACATCAGGGCGGCACTCGGCTTTGCAACAAGATCAGCAAGAGAGTCAAGAGAGCGCATGCGAATCTATAGCGAGTGAAACGCTAAGTTTGAGGCCGATACCTAGCTAAGAGCTTTACAGAGGCCGATGCTGTGCCAAGAACTCTTACAGAAGCCTGAGAAGCAGATCTCGTTTTAGGTTCTTCCCAGAATCCCATCTGCAGCGAAGGATCCGTCAGACGCCTCCACTCCACCGCTGCCTTTTCTGACGTGAAATTCTCCAACCAGACCACGTGATACAACAGGCCAACTTGTATGTTCTGAGTCCTCTCAGAAGACGCCAGGCACGTGGTCCATCAAAGGCCAATCAGGATGGTGCTGTGGGAGCTGACGCTCGCGACGGCGTATTTCCTGGGGCTCAAGCGCACGTACCGCCTGGCGCTTCGAATGCAGAAGAGGGTGCTTCTCTCGCGACCCGGTATTCGCGATTTCGCGAAAAGGTGAGCTGTGCTTGGTAGCCGATCTCATCTCGCCGATCCGATCTGGCGGATCTCATCTGGCCGATCTTATCGCGCAGATCCGTCGTCGTCGGATCTATTCGCGCGGATTTCGACGGAATGATCCCACAGTTATCCCACCTGACCGATCCTGCGATTCCAGAATGAATTGTCGACTTTTACCAACCGAACCTAGTACAAGGCAGGCTAATTCCGCATGGCTAATCCTGGGTGTGGCCTTCGCCCTTTCAGCCATACGATTGTATAACCCTTCAACCCATCCTTTCGCCATGTAAGAATCTCAGAATTAGAGCGGGTTGGTCTATACAGCAATGCAGCTTTGGGCCATTGGGATGGGTTTCTCTATTCTGCAACTCTTTTCTTCCCTTCCTTCGCTACTAACCTCCTTCGCTCTCTCTCCTCTCTCACTAATTATCCGCCCCCCTCACTCCCTTCCGCTCTCGTACTCGCGTCTCTCGTTCCACCATGGCAGTTTTCATAGTGGAACCGACGGCCGTCGAGACGATACAGCACAGGGTCATCGAGATTGGGCGCTTGCATCTTGGTGGCATTGCCGCTCACCTCCCTCGCTCCCTTCCCCTTCCCCCCTTACTTCTCCACCCGTGCGCTCTACCCCAGGCGCACACGAGCAGTGTTCCGAGTGGCGCTGATGGCCGTTGAGACGATTCAGCACAGGGAGACCGACAATGGGCTCTCTGCAAACCTTTCTCTCTCCCCCGCCCCCTGCGCTCCCCCACAGGCGCACGCGAGGAGTGTTCCGAGTGGCGCTGACAGCCGTTGAGACCATCCAGCACAGGGACATCGAGATTGGCCGATCTGTGGGAAATTAGCTAGCTACATGGTGGTCGCCTTACCGCACACCTTCCTCGTTCCCTCCCCCTCCCCCTTTTCCCCCTCCGGCTCCGCCCATGCCTTTCCGCAGGCGCACGCGAGCAGTGTTCCGAGTGGCACTGACGGCCGTTGAAACCATCCAGCACAGGGACACCGAGATTGGTCGCTCCGTGGGAAACTTGCAACTTGGTCGCCTTCCGCTCACCCCCCTTTCTCTCTTCCCCCCTCCCCCTCCCTTCCCCCCCCCCCCCCCCCCCCTTCCCCTCTCCCCGTACTCCACTCCTTCCGTCACCCCCTGTGTGCCCCCACCCCACAGGCGCACGCGAGCAGTGTTCCGAGTGGCGCTGACAGCCGTGGAGACCATCCAGCACAGGGACATCGAGATTGGTCGATCCGTGGGAAACTTCCTCCTGCGCTTCCTCGACCGCATGAAGCCCTCGGCGCACATTCGGGGGGATGGACCACACATGCCGGGGGGTTCAGCAGCAACAGGGGGGGTTCATTCAAGCCATGCACCACCAACGCCGGGAGGAGCAGCAGCAGGGGGGCATCAAAACCATGCAGCCATTCCGGGAGGAGCAGCACGGGACAGTGGGGTGGTAGCAGGGCACAGCGTTGGAGGGACAGGGTCACATGCAAGTGGTGCAGCAGCAGGAGGGCAGCACACCAGCAGCAACAGTGGCACCAGCAGCAGCAGATGTTTCAGCACCATGATTGGCCTAGGCGGAAGCAGCAGCAGAAGCAGTAGCAGCACTGTTAGCAGATTCGTGGGGAATCAGGGGCACTTGCACGCACACCCGTTCACCTTCAGTTCAACCCGGAAATTCTCGTTCTTCCCACAACACCTCCCGTCCACAGCACACCTGCAGTCCCTCACATCATTATCAAGACACACGGTGCAGATCACTTCAGATTCATCACTTCAGATTCGTCAAGCCCCTTCAACATTCTTATCAGCTGCCCTGCAAGCCCGAGACAGCCTGCCCGCCATGCCCATCTATCTACAGTCTCCCTTATCTGAGAAGGCATTGTTTCCTTCACAGTCCGCCCCTACTTCCTGCACGTATCTAGCGTATCATGGCGCTGCTGGTGTCACCCCTGCTGCGTTCTCCTGCTTGCCAAGAATAGTCCAGCCGCTGCTGGCATGCCCGCCCAGATGACCAGCGTCACCGGAGCGGTTGCAACAGCAGCTCAAGCCTCTGTTTTGGGTTGGGGTGCCTGAAGAATGGTCCATCCAACCACTACTGGCATGTCCGCCCATTCAATTCGCATGATTAGAGAGTTGCAAACACGGTGGCTGAAGTGTTACTGGTTTAGTGAGGATGGTGGGGCTTTGCTTGTCCAGGATGGGCTGACTGTTGCTGGCTCCTCCTCATCGACAATGTAAGCAGTTTATTGCCGAAAAAATCAGGAGGCTCTCTGAGCGAAGTTATTCCACCGGTAGTTGTTAGGATTCTCCAAGACTAGGGGGAATTTTGGATGAAGGGTACTCTTCCCCCCTCGGAAGAAGAAGGGTTTGCTCACGTTTTGGCACCGTATGTGGCCAAAGTTCGACTTTTTAGAGCGGTTGTACATGTTGGCCTGAGAAAAGCCCTTAGGATCTTTGCAGGGGTGAACTCTGGGTAGAGTTGGTGTAATAGCGGAAGCGTTAATTAAAGAGTTGTGAACCACCTTGCGCTAGTATGTGAGGGCAAAGTAGATTGATTAGAACAAAGAGATACAAGATAATATATAAAAGTACAAGGAATACGAAGAGGTACGGTTGTAACTACTTTACTGTTGCTGTTGCGGTTCGATACAGTGACGACTCGGGCAACTGCTCTGTGGCGAGTCAGTTGTGTGTCCTTGCTGTCGCGCTGTACTTGTCAGGTCAAAGGTCGCTGACCTTTGACTTTCGCGTAACCTCCAACAGTTGCTTTCAACCTCCGAGGGTTGACTCGCCGGTGCTTCGATATGCTTCGCTTCGTTTGTGCCTTGGTGTTTCGACACGACAGAGGCGCTTAAGATCGATTGTTTCCAACACTCCCCTTCGCTTCTTGAGTGTCGCTGCTGGTGACGTGGCTCTGTCCAGTCAGCAGCATGCAGTACTCAAACTTCTGCTTTCCAAGCTTCTTGGTCAGGTAGTCAGCTGCCATCTCGGACGTGGGGCAGTATGACAGCTTGAGCCTCCCTTTCTCGATCTCGTCCTTCACGAAGAAATATCGCAGGGCGATGTGTTTCGTCCTGTTCGCGAAGCCGTTTTTGTTGGCGATGCGAATTGCCGACTGGTTGTCGCAGAACAGAGTGAAGCTGGGTAACTGAGCCAGCTTCGCTTCTTCCAGCAGTTCGCGAAGGTAAAGTCCTACCTTGGTGGCTGAACAGAGTGCAATATATTCTGCTTCGGCTGACGAGAGGGCTATTAATTCCTGCTTGCTCGACTGCCAAGAGATAGGTCCGATAGGTTCGAGGCGGTAGATGTAGCCAGTGCGAGAACGCCTGTTGTCGGAATCGCCAGCGTGATCGGCGTCGACGTAGCCGATCAACTTAGGCAGCGTAGTTGCGTTCTTGTAGTAAGTTAGACCGATCGTCGGGGTGCTAATGAGGTAATGAAGGGCGCGGTCGAGCTCTGCTAGGTGTTCCGCTTCGGGCCTCTTGAGGTAGGTGGCGAGTTGGCTTGCAGAGTACGATAGGTCTGGACGGCAGGTGACAGCTGCGAAGAGGAGGCAGCCCAGCTTTCTCTGGTAGTCGCGTATGCCGGCGGGCTTGAGTAGAGCGGAGCCTTCCTTGTTATTTCCTGACGTGTAGCGGTACGGTGTAGAGATGGCGGTTGGTGTAAGTGCGAAGCGCTTGGCGATGGTGTCGGCGTATTTCGCGGCGCTGAGGTAGATGGCGTCTTCCTCTTCCCGGATGTTGAGCCCGAGGTACTGTGTGACGGTAGATGAAACTGTCAGTGTGAGATCCTGCTGCAGCTCCCCTTCGAACCAGGTGGTGATGCCGTCAGTTGAGCCGATGTAAAGGAGATCGTCCACGTAGACGATTAGTAGGATGTAGTCGTTGTTTTTCGTGAGCCGGTACATGCCTTGATCGTGCGGTAGTTGCTTGAAGCCGATGCGGATGAGGCGAGCGTGCAGGTACTGTTGCCACAGTCGCGGAGCCTGCTTGATGCCGTAGAGTGACTTGAGTAGCTGGCAGACTTGGTTAGGTTCTCCGTGGGAGCCGTGCGGTAGCTCGACGAAAATTTCTGCATCAACAGGTGCGTAGAGAAACGCGTTCGCGACGTCAATTTGCCGCAGCTTCTTCTTCTTTATGGCGGTGATTGCGAGGAGAATGCGTAGTGAGGTGTGGCGGCTGACCGGAGCGAAAGTTTTGGTGAAGTCGCGTCCGTGTTCTTGGTCGAAGCCGCGTACAACCCAGCGAGCTTTAAATTTGTCAATGGTACCGTCAGCCTTTGTCTTCACACGGAAGACCCACTTCCCGGTGAGTACTGTCTTGTTCCGTGCTACGCCGATGGGAACTACTTTCCACGTGTTGCGTTCCTCCAGTGCCTTCAGTTCCTTGTCCATGGCTTCGCGCCATTTTTCCTTATGCTCCCCCCCCAGAGCCTGTTGAACTGTCGCAGGCTCTTTAGGAATGGCTGCGCCGTGGACTGCGGTGACGAGACCAAGTATCTGGAGTCCGCTCTGTGTGTAGCGGGGGAGTGTGGTGTCCTCGGGATAAACTGCTTCGTCTCCCGCCTCTGGATCAGGTGCGAAATTTGGTCCTACGCGTTCTGCTTCGTTGGTGTTGACTTGCTCAGGTGTAACGTAACCGTCGTCTGCGAATTTGTAGAAGACTTCGGCGTTGACACTTTCGCGAGGGTTATCGTCGTCCATTGGTACGTCCACCCAGCAGTATGGGAGTGGTCCAGCTTCTTCCGAGGCTCTGTCCACGTTCTGCTCGTCCCAGTCAGCTTCGTCTTCTGCCGAGGCGAAGGCTCGGGTGCCAAGAAAGCCAGCGGAGCGATCGGGTTTTTCTTCTTGCAAGTTGGCGAGGTAGTACCGGAGGGTGAGGTTTTCGTAGAAAATGACGTCACGTGCTGCCACTGTCTCTTTTGTTTCGACGTCGAAAATTTTCCATGCGTTGTAATGCTTTTCGATGCCCAGGTGTAGTCCCCACTGTGCGCGTTGGGAGAATCGGCCGGCTCGTGCAGATGGGGGCCGGTACTGTACCATGCACCCGAAGACTCTTAACATTTTTGTGCTGCCCAGTTTTCCTGTCCACAGCAGGTGCGGTGATGTTCGGGAGCGATGATGACGAGAGCAAGTTGTGCAACATGACGGCGTGGTCCATTGCTTCGGGCCACTGGTGGTTGGGCAGGTGCATGCCACGTAGCAGCTTGCGCATGGTGTTCTGGAGGGTCCTGTTCATCCTTTCTGCTACACCTTGCTGTTGATGGGCGTAGGGAAGGGAGATGAGCCGCTTGATTCCTCTTTCTGCCAAGTAGTCCTTGAACCTCGTTGAGGTGTATTCTCCTCCTCCGTCTGACTGAAAGCTTTTCAGTTTGACTCCCGATTCTCGCTCTGCTACTGGAAGCCAGGCGACGAAGGCTTCGAAGGCCATGTCCTTGCTCGGAAGGTTTAGATGCCAGACGTATCGTGTGGCGGCGTCGATGAAGGTGATGGTGTAGTTGTATGCGTTTTGTCCAGGTTCGCGGTTGTACAGGATGTCGCTGTACACCTTCTCGAGTGGCGTGTAAGCTGGTGCGCTAGGGTTGTGGTGAGACACGAACGGTTGATGCGGTAAGTCGGCTTCAGGGCAGCTGAAGCATGTTCCTCGAGCTCGCTGAAGTTCTCTGCCGTCGGTTAGAAGTAGAGAGTCTTTATCGAGCACGCCTGCTCTTATCGTATTGTTTAACACCGTGTTGCTTGGATGTCCCATTCTTGCATGCCAGGTTCCTTCGGTGGCGCGATGTCCGGGTGAGCGCCGGTACATGTCGGAGTTGGAATAGAAGCTGGCGGTGAAGTTGGCGCTTCGATGAACTTCTCGTGGTGCTGGGTGTAGTTGTTGCGCGGGTGTCGGTGGTGTGTCGTCGAGGAGTGGTGCCGTTGAAGGACCAGCGACTGGTGTTGAAGTTCCTGCTGCTGCCGTTGATGTTCCTGCTGCTGCCGTTGTTGTCTCTGCTGCTGCCGACGTTGTCTCTGCTGCTGCCGATATTGTCTCTGCTGCTGCTGCATGTTGAATTGTCGCTAACGCTCTTGTCCTTTCTATCTCAGGGATGGTGTGTGAGTACCAGAAACCGCCAGGACTGAAGTCTGGATCAAGGTCTGGAGGGTGTATCCAGTTGGTGAAGTTAACGATGGCGTCGCTGTCGGCGGTGCCAAGATCAGGAACGAAGTCAAGAACGAAGACGTTGTTCTTGAGGATCGCCTTGCCGATGTAAAGTCCTCCTCTCCCGTGATACAGCTTGAATTCTTGGGTGGTGCTGTCTGCTTCGAGGTGAATCCCCTTCGCCATTAGCTGACTGACGCTCAGTAAGTTGTAGCCGAGGCCTTCTGCGATTAGGACCTTGGACATCTGTAGGATGACATTTGTTTCTCGTGACTGTAGTTGAACAACTCCTTGTCGTCGTGTGCGCAGGTTCTGATTGTTGGCGACGGTGATGACTACTTCGCGTTGAAGTTGGTATTCTCGTTGCACGAAGCGTCCTGAAGAACACATGTGTTGTCCGCAGCAACTGTCCAAGAACCATGTGTCCTTTCCGGATGGTTCGCTTTGGGCGATGGCGGCGTATGTCGGGTTTGGCTGAAGTGACTCGCGGCGGGGTGTGGTTTCGTCGAGTTGTTCTTCCGGTGAGTAGTGTGGTGGTGACTCGGTGATGCAGGAGTCACTCAGCTTTGCCATGCAGCTGACGATGTTTCTTGCTCCTTGTGCAGGTTGTCCCGTTGAAGTCGTTGAGGCTTGAATCTGGGTCATGGGATTCGCTTGCGTTGAGGTGACTTGGCTGCTTGAAGGTCGAAGTTGCCGCTGTGGAGTTGTTGACTGTTGACGATTCGGGCAGTGCGTACGCGGGTGTCCTGAAGTTTTGCAGATGTGGCAGAACAGAGGTACTGGCTTCGGTTGTTGTTGCCGGTTGTTGTTGTTGTTGTAGCGTCGCTGAGTGTGGAACGCAAATTCCGGTGCTGATGTCTTCTTTTTGTGTCGTTCTTCTTGCAGGTCCATGTCTTGCTGTTCGGCGTGGATTTCGGCGCAGAGCGCTGCTTCGGA